AGACAGATGTCTAAATGAATGCACCACAGAGCTGGGAAGGTTGGTTTGATGCAGCAGTCTGTAACATCCTGCTGTAGAACTTTCTGTCTCTGTTTATTGTTGACATTTATTATCAACAATAAAAGCAGAGTGAAATGAAAGTAGCAGTTGTATCGATTTTTTTAAGCTGGAAAGGCATATTTAATAACTTGATACCTTTAACTAAACTGGAGTCTCTCTTACTATAAAAATTAAAAACCTGAAACACCCTTTTTATAATTGTTCTTTACTAGCTAACAATAAAATGGCATGGATCCTATTCCATACATGTGTTATTTCTGAGGTAAATTATCCTGGTAACAAACAAATAAAAAGCAATATCACATTTTTCATCAGTATTCATTTCAATGGATACATGAACAAATCAAGCCAACCATGACTGTCAAGTGGTATTTTAGGGATACAAAGTCAGCAACTGTCAGTAAACTGACTGGCATTGCATGAACTTGTTTTTTATCCTATTTTACTTTCTACTATGATAATAATACTACTTATAGAGAATTTTACTTGTTTTTGTATGGTTATAATGATGAACTTTGCTAGGAAAGCAGAATATGTACATATAAAGTGAAAATGTGGAAGAAGTGCACAGTAGATAATTTTATTCAAAATAAGAATAGCAAGATTTAAAATAATGAAGTAATGAATTGTTGTAAAATCTTATTTACATAAGTTGAAAAACTATGAAGTAATGGAATAAAAGCAGTGGCAAAACAGTTACAAATTTCATGGAAGGGTTACTATGTTAATAGGAAAAGTAAATTTGAAGAGTGATGGAGGAGTATCTTGAAAAACTTTCTGGAATAGTGCGTCTGAACTCTGCCATGACTGTCTGAGACAAGCCTGAGGTGGGTGCTAAGTGCAGTGGGTTTTCTTATGATCTGGACCTGCTGTTAGTGTAGAAGAAAAAATAAGTTATTATTATTATTATGTTTTTACTTGTATTACTGTATTTCTTCTTGAATCCTGGGGGGGGGGGATTTTGAGACTTGAGATGATACTAAAGAGTTCCAGCATCTCTGTTCATCTTCCATCTGTATTTTGAGGCAAGGCTGTGAATTTCTCCAGCATGAGTACAAAGGGAGGTAAAAGCCATCGGGATAGTTGAGGAGGAAGAAGTTTAGGAGTTGAGGGGATGTAATAATTTGGTTTTTCCCTCTTTATAGATATTCTTTCAAAATTTCCCACATACTATATGCTTCTGATGCTTTCAAAATAATATTTTTTAATCCACATAAACATAAAATCTTGAATTATTTCAAACCACAAAATAAGATTAGTCTCAAGTCATCTGTGACTCTCTGAAGCAATTTCTTGTGTGATAAATAGGTATCTTCTATGATTTCTATACTAAAAGATGCAAATATGGCAAATATGGGTAGTCTTTCTTTGGGGAGAAGGTATATTACCCAAACTCTCTGAACTAGATGTTTCATCAGAGAAACAAGAGTGATTATAACTTTTACTATGTTCTCTCTGTATTGCTAATTTGCTACACTGTTGAATTTTTAAGAGTTTATCTATTGCTTAATTAACAAGAATTTAGAATTTTCTCATTCTTCAATAGGAATAACCTAATTTACGATCTGGGTACCATTCAGGAAAGACTATGGGTAGTAAATTGTATGCAACTCTTAGCTAAATATTATACCAGAGCACTGGACTGAGACTGCCTTAGATATCGTAAGACTACTAGTAATATTATAATAATGATACTCTGACTTATTGCATGTCTGTGTACCTGGCACTGGTGGGTGCTTCCATTTACAATGTGTGCCATTTGTTTATGAATAATCTAGCAGTACTGGTTTATTTTAATTTTTTTTAATTCCAGACACTTGGACCATGTTGTCACAAAATCTGAACATCTACATCATTGTATACCCATCTTCTCATAACTATTCTATTTTTATATTACAATTACTCAAATGCTTATCTTCCATGTTTAAACTTCTTGAGTGCTAATCATCTTTGCTCCTACAGTGCCTTTGCACTCCATGAATAAGTGTTAAATATTTATTTGGTGAATGAATATTTCTCTTGACCTGAGTTCTCCAAAAAGTAAAAGCAGCAATGGAACAGCATATTTCAAAACCACTAATATGGAAGTAATTAGCATTTTAGATAAATAAATAAATAGCAAATACTAATAACAGCATGCAAATAACTTCAATATTTTTATACAGAAACAAAAAAACAAAAAGCTACTGTGCTGACAGGAATTCATAGCGTAACTATGGCTACCAATTTAGCAGATTAATTTTTCCATTGCTGAACTTGTTAATGAAAAATGAGCTTCTTTCCTAACAGACTCTCCACAGTGCAAATATTTCAAAAGTATAATGCTTTATCTTAGGGGCAGTTGTATGCTGAGTTTTGTTAGGCCTTTCATTGAAGGGGAGTTTCAGACTAGCAGTTTCAAATTACCGTCTGTGGTTCTAAGGCTGAAATTTGCAAAGGTGTAATTAGGAGGGGGGAAAAAACCCTCCAGTGTCCATAACACAGAATGTCAGTGCTGTTAACAATTAAATGTGATAACATTTAAATAATGCACTTTCATTGACACCCAAAGAATAAAATCTAACCATTAGGATGCCATCTAGATAACAGATGATTTCACAGCAAAGTGCTCAGACCTCCATCAAGTTAAGAATCAATAGAACCTAGGTAACTGTGGTGGAGTCAAAGACACAGTCTCAGCTCATGAAAGGCCCTTCTGTGCTGGAGCTATATTAAATCATCACAGCTAATGTAAAATCAAACTTGGTGTACAAGATAAAAGGGTAAAGTTCTCACAAATGACCACTTATCACTCCATTCTGAAATGCATACAGCATTCATTATAGATAGAAATTCCACTCAAATTTCATCATTTAGTCAGGTTTTGAAACAGCCAAACCATTAACAGAAGAGGACCTTTTTATGTTTATACAGCCAGTGACTAATGAAACATTATACCCTGTGTGTAAAGGTTGGGGGGACCCTTTATTTTGTAATGAACCCAATTGGAGCCCTTTTTAAACACAGTGTAATATTGTTTCACTGTTTCATCGAGCCTCTCATTACTTGTGTCAATAATCCTAGGTAAACCACTATTGAGCTTCACAGCATTTATCTAGCAGCAGGAATAGCATTAATCTATGGGGTGCTTTTGATGAATTGTAGTTCAAAAAGCAAAGCCAAAAATGACTTCTTACAAAGTGCTTAGAGAAGTATTTATTAGAAATATGTCAACTGCCAATGACCTAAAGGTAGCTTGGCTATTTAGGAAACCATGCTGTTGGCTAGCTTGCAAACACTGGGAGAACATATTAATTTTCCCCACTTGAATTACTTAAAAAAAAAAAGAATGACATACTTTTCACCTAAGTATATTATTTTTTCTGTCACTTCCCTTCTAATTCTCTATATTTTTATGTCATATTGCTTTCGACACAAACTGACATGCTAATACAATGTGCCCTCAGGTTCCCCCAAACTGGGAGACGCACTTAGAAAGCTGAGCGTGAATCAGACTTCACTTATGTGACTGTAGGATCTAAACAACCAGGTCAGCATGAACTGAAAGCTATTCCTAGATCCTGCTCTAAGGATCTAACTTATATCTTGACACACTCAGTGGTTGTTATATTTCCTCTAGCAGGGAGCCTGGCAGAGTGTGTCTACAGGGGGTTACTGCATTTAATTCCAATTTATCAGTCTAATTTGATTTAGGCTGATCTTTCCCAAAAGTTGGAATTTGCACAATTCATAAGATGTTAGAAACGACTTTCTCAGCCTACTATCTTCAAGATGCTCAAATGTAGACAGTAATATTCACTGCAAGCGTTCATTTGCCTTCAATGACTGAGTGTTAAGAGCTGAGAGATGGTATACACTAAAGCAGTTTGGTATATTTATATGTATATTTTTTCCCTAAAAGTAAATCTCTTATCCCCAAAATTCCTTTTTGGAAAGGTATAGAATTAACCTAAGTTTCTTACAGTATTTTATACTAAGATTCAGAGGAGAGATGTCAAATAAATATACTTCATAATTTCTAAGATCCACTGGATTTATTACAGCATTGCATAATTTTCACACAATATTCATTCAAATGCTGTAATATTGTGTAGAACACATTAGTCTTAGAAAAGGATTTCTTGGTGGTGAAACACATAAGAAAAATTTTACAATCTCTAATGAATTTTTCTCTTGGAGATTCACATTGTATCGTGTAAATAAACTCTGAGAAGTCCTGCAATAAAGAAATCTGACTAGTTTTGTTTATTGTGATATTTACCAAGCTTATAAATGTTCAGCAAAATCTAACAATACGTTAAAGCTACCTCGTGAACAACCTGTCATGGCTTTTGGAGGCTGGGAAAAACAGAGGTTCTCTTAACTTGGGTACTGGTATCTCTTTTTGTCATTTTGTTATATTTACTCAAATTGTGAGATTAATGTAGAGGAGGAAAAATGTCTTTTGGGCTTTTCAAATTATTGTTCATAAGAACTGAATGCAGTTATCATTAATAATGTATACCTGTCTTGCTAATCTCAATAACATGCTATCACTCGTTGTGAAACTAGTAATAGTGATTATAAGATGTATGTTTATAATACTACCAAAAATTAATATAAGGGAAATACAGTTTTCATGATTCTGATTTATAACTAGGCTTTATTTGTAAAATGTAAAGAAAACCATTAATATGATTTACTATTCACCAAATATTATGTATTATAATGAAAATATTTCACAAAAATAATTCTTATTTCTAGCTGTATCTTATTTTATTAGTTTGACATAGAACATATTAACTGTGAATCTTGGAGATATTTACACTTACAAGAAGTGGTTCTGAAAGAAAAAGAAAACCTGCTTAAATCTGTTTATTATTCTAAAGATTGTGATAAATTTAAGCAGTTTTTCAGGTCATTTATTCTTCCACCTACAATAATGTAAAAAAAGTACTCACCGTGTACAATGAGAACGTACTCTGCGCTGCTTTGGCCAATGGTGTTTGTGGCTTCACATCGATATGTACCATTATCCGTTTTGTTGAGGAAAAGAATGTTTAGCTCCCTACCGCTCACAACCATTCGGTCAGGATCCGGTAATTCTCCACCATCCTTCGTCCACAAAACAGGTTCTGGCCTATTGGATTTAAACATATGTACAGACAAAAAGTATATGAAACATTACATATTCTGTGAATTAAGTAAATCAAGCAATTTATAAATATCTAACACCCATTTTGTGGATAACCATGTAGTAACATCCATAAGGTACCCAAAAAAACCGTAATGTACTCACTCAGAAGACTTGAAGGTATAGCAAATATAATTTAATACTATTCTCCTTAACTAAGCAGACATGTATTAAGGAACTGATTTTCTAAGTCATTACAGCAGTCACTGATACACAGCAGGTCCTGTGCCCCAGATTCTGTGCCTAAATGGCTCATACTTGCTGGTCTCTGGAGGTCTGCCTTTGGGTTATTGGAGCAGCCTTGCACAGAGATACCTGGAATTAAACCTTTGTACCTGGCGTCACCAATGTGGCACAGCTTTGCCTGAAACCACTTAAACCTTTCCCTCTTACATTTCCTGCTTTCTCTTTCCCCTGCAGGTGTTTTTGTTTCCCCCTGAAAGTTCTGTCCTTTTTCCCACAGTTTTATTGGGATACAATTGACACATAACACTAAAGTTACATAACATTATTTTCAAAAAGCTTTACTTCTTCTTTTTTCTTTTTTACTTATTTGTTTTATTTTGGTGAACACATTGAACTTATGAACTTTTGTTCTTGTGAATGTAATTAGAACATAGGTCTTGATAAGTGGTGCCTAAGACCATGACAGCTTTTCTAAGGTGAAGAATATATATCTTTCTGACAAAATTTTGTAAAATAGATAAAAGTTGTGAAACAAATAATTGTAAGTATTGTAAATCATGTCAAAAAAAAAAAAAGCAGGTCGGCAATATGATGAAAGAACTGTTTAGTTTTTTAGTGAAAATTTGTTATAAAAAATACTGGAATAGTACAATAATTTATATCATCCAATTACATAGACAATTAATTCTTATAGTATTTTTAATAAAGTCAAACCATTAATACTTCTCAACTTTCTTCAAATATTCCACATGAACTTGTTATTTGAGTTTCCTAATTCTTATTTTAAAACTGATAGCCTGGATAATCTTGTACCATGCACATTTTTAAAATCCTTTGAAGAAAAAAACTGGTACGAAAAATTATGATTCACTGCATATAACTGAAATATTAAAAGTTGTGTCATTTCTACAAAGCCACATAAGGCTGACATTAAAATAAGTTATATTACCAATAATTTGAATTTTAGAAGATTCACTCTTAAAATACTGCTCAAAAGGGATTTTTAATTATAATGAGTCAATACTTTCTTGATATAGAAGTCAGAATTTTTAAACACACACAGATAAGATTATACACATAATTGTACACAATCCCATATATAAAATTTTACCTCCTGAATCTAAACTGTCATAATTTATCCTCTGTGAGTGTTCATAAGCTTTCAGTCATATCTTAAAGCATATAGCTGTATAAATATGTAATTAAATTTAGATATATATTTTAAATTGTGTGTATAGAAATAAACTTATACATCTAGAAAAAAATTATTTGAGTTGCCAGTTTGTATGTATAAAAACAACTTTTATCCCCCCCAAAATAATTATCTCTTTTAGGAAATAATGAAAAACACTTGCAAAAATGGTTAACAGGAGATTAATGCAGAAGTCACTGCTGACACTGAACACTGTAGAATTCTTGATCCTATCCTGTCTGATAAATCTTCATGGTGATAAAAAAAGGTAGCACCACAAGATGCAATTTTAGCAAAATGGAGGTTAAAATTCATGCATCGATTAAAAGCAACATACACATATTCCAATTAAGTTCATGCATCGATTAAAAATAACATGCACATATTCCAATTAGAACTTAAAATGTTCAAGCTTCTTAATATTACCATAAAAATATTAAGTGGTTTAGCAAGTCTTGATACAATTTGTGTTTCATCTTAATAAAGAGGGCCCCTAGGCTTTCTCTAATTGGAACCCAGAAGTGATTGAGTTTCTTACTGCAAATGAATAAAAATCTTTCCTGCTGTTCAGGCAACCAAAGAAGATCATTTAAAAGGTGGTTCCAGTCTACAGTTTCTATGTGATAAGGCTGAAAAAGAGTAGGAGCCAGACATCAGGAGTAACAGGACAGAGACACAGCATCAAACATGTAAAACGCTGTATAGCTCCACAGCAAGAATATCAAGACAGTCAGTCCACAGTGGCCCCTATAAAAGCCCAAATAACTGAAAGTTGGAAATCTTCCATATGAGACGAAATTTAATTTATGTTCCTGTCTACCAAACCTATAAGTCCATAAACATGTTTTATTTTCTTATGCACCTGCAGATATTTGTGTAGCAGTTTCTTCCTAGGGCAGCAGAAAATGACAAGTAAATACAAGTGAAAAAAGAAACCAAATATGCTTGTACATTTATTCTCTTGTATTTGAAGGTCTTGGTGAAGTTGTTTTTATCTTAGCAGACTTTAACAAAAACTTTTATCAAGTCAGTGTTTTGTTTGTAGATGTCTAACAGAATCTCTGATATCTTTAAAAACTCCTTATTTATAAATTAGTGTTAGAAGGAACTGCACAACTCTCTCAGACCACCAGCTTAATTAATATTTGAACTAGATACAAACATGATTACTAATATCCACTGAAACTCTTTTAGTTAGTCACTGGGGCATTTATTCTGTGAAATTATGCCACAGTAATAATTCCTCTAATTCTCCCAGCTGTATATGGAATCATTCCCTCCCTAGGTATTGATGAGAGTATCTATTGATAAGAATATTGATGAGCTTTGCCTTCATAGCTCCCATTCTCCCTTTCAGGCTCATGCTTGAGAAGAAAAAGAATAAGAAGTTCAGTTATAGAAACATCAGTCCCACAATATAAGTCTCCTAAGGAAAGAGTTCTCCTAGTATCCTCACAAAAGTGGACAGGAGAAAAAGGTTTCCCAAATTTTGGAATGGATATACTCTCTGGTATCCTCCTTCTCCCAACTGGCTATATCCTCCTTGAATTCTGCAGTGTCATTTCCTTCATAAACACAGGGCATGTTGGGTTCTAATACTAAAGCTAATCTTAAGAAAATTAACTTACTTTTTCTAGATGAAAGAAAAAAAATAAGTCACTGTAATAGCATTCAAGTAAACATCTCATTCTGGCTCAAAGGAAAAAGAAGGAAACTTACAATTACATATATCTTACATTTCCTTTAATATAAGACAAAGCATGAACTTATAATTAATAACTCAGTGCCTTATGAACTTGTATCACACATGAAGATGACTACTGTCTTTATATCAGGTTAGAAATTCCACAGGTGGCAGTAGATGTGATTGAAGCTTTAATACTCAGAAGATTTTTTTTTAAAGCCTATTTCTCCCCAATTTCTTGCGATATTTTCACTCTAAAGCAAAAGAAGGTGGTAGGAGTTATGTAAACATCTTAATTTCTTTTTCTGCTTTAAGCAGAAGCTGTTAAGTCAAGAAATTATACTGCAGAGTTTGTATATAAAACCTCACTGTTTATGCTATCAATTTTTTAGAGAAACAGAGGGAGAGAAATTAAATGCAAATTAATTGACAAGTGGGTTTGAAATTTGGTTCAAGTAAAGAATTTTAAATTTATTGCGTTCCCAGAGGAAGGATTCTGAGAGAGTCCAGCCTAGGCAGTCTCTATTGGGTGGGGGAGACTGCATCCATAAACCACAGCCCAAACTTTGTCAACCAAGTGGGAAGAATTAAAAAAAAGAAAAAGAAAAATTAGAAGCTGGGGTTGCTTGCTTTATCAAAATTTAAAATATTAATACAAAGGAAGTTCAAGGAGTAGTCTTTCTTAGAGCTGTGAAACCAATTCAAAATTTGATTTTGTAATGAGTCTCTGTTGGAAGCAAAGGATATGGTGGCAAAACAGAAAGAAATGGAAAGGGATTACTTGTGTAGCTATTTATTATGTTGAACATTTCAAATTTAAAGATATGCGAAGGGTTATTTTGTTACTGAGGATCAAATGAGATGTTTCTGGACATAGTTTGTAAGTAACATTCTATATATGTTCAAAGGCATATTCTTAATTATTGTAAAAATATTGATCTAGGCCCTTGGAGAATATATCAAGCTGTGATTTTTCCTCAGATTTGATTATTATGCAACTTAATTGTAATGAAATTTGTTTTCCTTTCATTCCTGATATTGATTTTGTACTTTTCATGGAAGCAATTCTTAAAACATCAAATAACTTTTACTATTAGCCAAGTTAACATTAAATGTTTTACTTATCACAATTGAGGTTCATTTTAAAACATAATCAATGAAACATTTATGTATCTGTCTTTACAGATACAGCAGTGTTCAAGGGAAAACAAGACTTCAGAAACGTTTATAGTAAAGTAATCTTCAATGAGTCTCGATGGGTTTAATTACCAGAAAATGTTGTACTCTTACACTTACGTCTTAAGACAGATAAGAGATCAATTAACATTGTTGCTGTTGTTAATTAATGTATGCCTGTATATTCTTGGCTAGGTACTTTGTAAGTTTATACAGTTGTTATCTAATAATTATCTATACACAAATCAGTGCAAGTTTTTGAACCAGGAATGATGAGGCATATAAGGAAAATAAAATAAATATCTGTTCTCTGTGATACTACATTTTAGTAGTTTATGTTATATATATATAATATATATATAAAATCAAATATAATATTTACTAGGACATGGTAAGTGACATAAATGAGTTACAAAACATCACGAAGATTCATCATATCTATACTAGGGGCACTACACAGGCCTTACAGAAGATATAACAATTGATTCGTGTCTTTAATTATGGCAGGATTTTGAGGGGCAGAAATGGAAGATGCCAACTCAAGAGCCAGAACCTTGGTTAGGAATCCTACCTTTCAGAGGCCATACTGTTGAATAGATGAATTCAAATACGGTGAATGCCAGGAAAGAATATGGAGTTAATAAGTAATATTGTTAGGTCTAAGATAACAAACTAATAAAGGGCAAAGTTAAAAGCACTTGATATGAT